AAATATGTGCTAGAGTAAGTACTATCAGGAAAAAGAAAGCAAGGGAGGGAGAGAGGGAGGGTGAGTTCTAGCTTCTGTACCAGTTATCTAGGTCTGGACTGTAACCAGCTGTGTGTCCATTGCTGCACTGTGCCCATCGTGATCTGCTTTCCAATTGTACTCAACAAACACCAGAGTCTCTATGGCTTCCTCTCTACCCTCTGTAGGCGCTATACTCATTCTTGCTTTCATGTCCTTTTATTATTAATTTATTTTTTAAGTTTATTTATTTATTTTTTTAGTAAGCTCTATACCCAGCATGGGGCTCGGACTCACGATCCCTGAGATCAGGAGTCACATACTCTTCCAACTGAACGAGCCAGGTGCTGCTGCTTTCATGCCCTTTTAAAAGACTGATCTTCATGGCTTCCCCATGGCTTCTTTGACAATTTAGCCTCCATTAATCTCTCTATCTTCTGGGGATCTGAGGGGACCACTCCCCCTCCTAAATAAAAGGTACCAAAACAAAACAAAATACAACTTACCCATCTTTTTTGTTTTCTTTGTTTTTGGGTTAATAGTTGATTTTTATTTGTTTCCTTTGTGTGTGTTTTAAGATTTCATTTATTTATTTTTGAGAGAGAGAGAGTGTACAAGCAGTGGGGAAGGGCAGAGGAGAAGCAGACTCCCGGCTGAGCAGGGAGCCCAGTGTGGGGCTCAATCCCAGGATCCTGGGATCATGACCCCAGCTGAAGGCAGAGGCTCAACTGAATTGTTTTGTTGCACATCCCTCCTCTTCCCCAATAGAATTTCAGGTGTTTGAGTTTGGTGAGTTTTTACACCAAAACTCAATACATGAGTATTAATGGAACATGCAAGCAAAACACTCTTGATGGTAGCTTCATTGGAAGAAATATAAAAGATAAAAGGTACAATGTCTGTCTTTGCAGAATTTAATATATACTTGGAAAGAGAAAATGGTCTCCCTGAGGTGAGAAAACCGTGGAAAGACAGCTCATATAAATCAAATAGTTCATGGTATGGTATGGCAAGTGGCTTCCAAATATTTTTGGCTTGCAACCACAATGAGAAATGGACTATACAACATGACTCTGTATGTATATACATATTTGTGTGTGTGCATGTAAGCTAAATTTTACAAAAATATGTTTTACAAAACAATACTGAATTTCTATACAGAATACATTCTGATATTTTCTTTTTCTATTCCAGTTGTCAAAAAATGCTGGTGGAAACCCTCTGAACTGATCTCACAATCTGCTAAGAGAATATGACCCCCATTTTGGAAAACATTGGTATAGCCAGGTGGTGAGCACACAGAGGTGTAAAGTAAAAGAGTATTGAATTGTATGAGTCCAGAGATGTCTGTCCAGGAAAAGATAATTGACATATCTCTTGAAAGAAGTGTCCTATTTAGAATATTGGGTCCACGACAGTGTTGGTGCTGAGTTGGGACAATTGTATGAGTGAAGAAGGCACAGAAGTTAGAGCAAGCAGCAAGTTCAAGGATCATTGAAGAACAGAATTCTGTTATATGACTGCTTTTGTAGATTATGGAAATAATATAAAAGTCAAACTGAAGGCCTGAAAACAGATTATGAGGATACATATTGGAGAAAAATATTAATATTGATAATTGGGAATAGTTTAATAGGAGAGTAGATTTATGGCATTTAATAATTCATACCATTATTTGCATTAGTAGTCCCTTTTGTCAAAATTCTTTGTAATCAGAATTATAACCATTCCTCAAAGTGAACCTCTGGGCATAGGAGAGGCTATTTCTAGAAGAAGAAACTGGTACATAGAGATAATAGGCATTGTTCAAGGTATATTTACTTGATGTGACTTTAGCAGATCAGGCTAATTCTAGCCCAAAGGACTTAGTTGACCCCAAGAGTTTAGAAGACAGGTACACATGTCAAGCAAAAATGCAAACAGAAAAAGAACACTGAAACAATGACCACTTATTCTGATCCAGCCCTGAAGATTGGCTTGTCCCTTTTCTCAAGGGTATAAATTGTTTACCTTTGATGACCTGGATTGTTGATGTGTTTTACTCAGTTTTGTGAAGACCTGGGTATGGAGTGGGTGATGAACTTTGGGGGAAGGAAACCCTGGGTATAGGTATACTTTTTTTGAAATTTATTTCAATGTGCATGGGTTAATCAGAGAAATTAAAGAAAGGGAAGCCAAGTGTGGATGTATAGAGCATAGGGGCTTCCATGGTTTCCTAGAGCTCTTCATATTTCCTTCTGGAAGCATCTGAGGGGAGGGCTTTGTGTCACTATCCATCTTTTGCTCTTTAGACAGGCTTTCTCCCTTTCTCTCTCCTTCAGAAATGGTGTGAAAAGGGAAAGATAAAAGGGCTGGGATTCCAAGGAAATTCCACATGTTGTATGGAAGTAGGAAATGGAGTCCTTAACCTTATCTAAAAATTTTGTTCCTAATATCTTCATTTTAGTACTTTTCTTTTCAGCAATAAAATTGGAACCATTGCCTCTGCATCAAATTTGACTAAGGCTAAAAATAGATGAGCAAGGTTAAGCATGGAAGAAGTGGCCCAGCTTCTCCTTCCTCCTTTTGATTTTGTTTTAGTTTGAATGAGAAGGAGGTGGCTTACACAATGAACAAGAACAACAACTGGCTGGATGACTGTGTGCTTTGAGCCAGTTATGATACTTTTGTGGGAAAGCTTCCAATTCTGAAGTCTCAGTTATGTAGAGGTAGGAGGCAGCTGGTGTGAATATCTGTCTGCAGGGTACATGCACACTTATTCTGATCCAATATGACATGACAGCAATGTGCTTATTCAAGAAAATAGTTATCTCAATTTTCTTGTATTCTAACATAAAACTTCTTCATTCTCCCCACTCAAAAAAGAAAAAGAAAGAAAGAAAGAAAGAAAGAAAGAAAGAAAGAAAGAAAGAA